AAGAATAATATGAACCAAAACCCCAAAACCCCAAAACCCCAAAACCCCGTAAGGCTAAATATGATCAATTGCATAAGGAAATTAGCAAGCATAAATTCTGAGTTTATAAATATCTTAAAATTATACCCAATTTAATTGGTTCTAATTTTTCATAAAGATTAAAATATATACAGAAAATAATTATTAAATCTTTTATTCTTTATGTGGTAGTCAAAGTTCATAGTAATAACAATGGCTTTTGTGCTTTTATGTGACAGAAGCTAGCAAGTACGAGTAAGAAAGCATAGTAAAGATGATGAAGCTTAGAAATTTGATGGTTTTCTGTCTGATTCTCACTTGAATAATGTTAGTTTTATCTAATTCTTAACTTTATTAGCTGGTGGAAATTCAAGCAGAAGAGCAATAAAGAGTAAGTTATAATTTCTTAATGAATATAAACGAAATAGTTTAATATTGCAGGGTTATAAACGTTGATTCCTGCTGCACTCTAAAGCTAACTCTAGCAGTAACTCTAGGACCTATTAAATTAGAATCTACCTACTTTATTACAATAATTGACAGCTATACCTATCTTGACTCTTTTACCTGAACCTCTCCAGACTCTGTTATCCATACCAGTTTTGACTCTCTTACCTATAACTATCTTGACTCTTCCTCCTACTATAGACCTAGTGATAGAATTGCCAATCCCTACTGTGGCTCCTTTGCCAAGTGCTTAAATTGCTACTATTGCTCCTCTCACATTTGCCCCTGTAAATTTTTTGTAAAATTAATATCATTTTAGTTAACACTTGATTTTACTCTAAATCCTCTGATACTTCCAACCTTTTAAGCTTTGACATTTCCAACCTTTTAGGCGCTGACATTCCCTATTGTGACGTACGATGCAGCTACTGTAACAGCATAACCAAAAGCCTCGGTGACCACGTCACAAAGTTTTTCAACATCTTACTGTGATACTACAGTAGCTACAACTACTACTTCCCCTTGTGAAACTGCAACTACTTAAACTCCTGAGACAACTTATTGTAATAGTATGACTTAAGAGCCAATAAAAACATAAAATTATGAATTCTGTCCACCTTCTGAGCCTTAATACAATTATAATGACAAATTTTATAAGAAAAGAATTCAAATGAAGCATAAGAAAAATTAATGATCTCGAGTAGAGTGATGCTTTTTAAATCACATTAAATTGAACATTTACAAGCTTTATAAATTAGTAATTAAGATAATTAGAATTTTCATTTATTATTACAGCACTTTTTGCTTAATTATTATCAGAAGGGGTTTTGGGGTTTTGGGGTTTTGGGG